TAGTTTTTTATTTTTTAAGGAGGAGACACCAACTCCCTCTACTTTAAAAACTCCATTATTAACTAAGTTCACACTCCCTAACCCGGGGCCAGGACCCCCTAAAAGCGCCTTCCCATGAGTTCCCGGGGAAGGGCACTCTGTGCTCGAAACAAAATAGGAGAGAAGACCTGCAGGGGCTCCGGCCGCCACCGCCGCCACCGCCGGAGCCGGCGCGTCCCCGGGGGGCTCGGGCGGGCAGCTCCACCCCCAGCCCGGAGGCACCCGGCGGGCAGTTCCCGATCGCCAGACAAAGGCAGGCAAGCCGCGCGACCCAAAGGTGCCGCAGGAAGAGCAGAGCGGCGGGGGCTCCAGGCTCAAGGCTCAGCAGAAGCAGCAGCTGCAGGGGTAAGCCCACACCCCTCCCGGCCTCCCCCCTCCGCGCCGCCCACGCGGGACCGGGGTCAGGGCCACTGGGCGCCCGGGCACCGTGGTCCGCTTTCTGCTCCCCGCTCGCCTCCGCCTGCCCGGGAGCGGGAGCGCGGCGGGAAGAGCAGAGAGCGGGAACCAGGAAACTGTACCCCCCTAAACCCCGAGTGCATTGTTACTGAGCTGCGGATAAACACAAAAGGCATTTCTGCCTGGGGCGTAACCTCGTGTGCTCGAGCGAACCCAGCTACTCCTAGAAGTTGGGCGTAAACATGAAGTCACTACAACTGGATCCCTCAGCATCAATTAAACTTCTTGCAACACAGTTTCAATATTTTTCTCTTTGCTAAATGAAAAAAAAAGTTTTGGTTCCTGTTCTGTGGTCTAGAAATGATCAGCATCCTAGAAATTCTGGGCTTGGATCGTTCTGCACCTGTGTCTTAGCACCGACAGAAGTTTCTGCTGAAAAGTTTCTGTTATTGGGGCCCTTAAACATTCTCCCAGCTCTCCTCTGCCGTTCAACACAGGTTGGGGTGTGTGTGTGTGTGTGTGTATGTGTGTGTGGAAACTGGTTTTGATTATTTGGTGTTTTTCTTCAAGGGTGGTTCCAAGCATTGTGATCTCACCCCTCCTTGTTTGGACACTTTTCTCTAAAACTAAAATGCAATTGAAAATGTGGGTGCAGATAACGTACACAATACATTTGGCTCGACTTTGAGGGTTAAAGAAACCACTTATTTGGACCTCGTCTCCTCCTGTATAGCCCTAGGGCATGCTGGCTTCCTGGTTCTCCCACCCTTTCCTGATTCTAGGTCCTTACCCTTCTAACTGGGCATCTCTGGGTTGGGCATCCTGGACACCCACGAGGACTCTCTGGGAGCCAGAGGAATATGGAAGCAGGATGTTGGACTTGTGGGAACCCCCTAGAAGGCTGGGTTCTCTGGGAGAGAGTGCTGCCACTGCTGGACTCAGGAGTCTTGCTTTGTTTCAGGGTCAACGTCTGTGGAGGGCAGTGCTGCCAAGGCTGGAGTAAGGCCCCTGGCTCCCAGAGGTGCACCAAACGTAAGTCTCCATGCGCACAGCGGCCCTGCACGGTAGGCAGCGTGGGGCTGTTCACACTGGGCGATCCGACAGGGGTCACGTGAAAGGGGCTAATGCTGTCCTGGATATGCTGGTGTCTGGAGTACAATCCACCCCATTATCTGCAGCCTTCATTACCATCCGGGGAGGGCTGGGCCATGGTAACGTTGGTATCAATGCCAGCAGCAGACTGCTGTCTGGAGCCACGCAGCCAAGACTCCTCTGCACTCAACTCAGGTATTAATCACTCGGTCACACCTGTGAATCAGGAGTTAGGCAAAAAATTCCTGTTGGAGGATGTGCCATGTGACAGGAGCAATACTATTAATTGAGACGTAAGATGATGGCAGGAGGGGAATGGGAAGTAGAGGGCCCTATTTTAGGAAAAAACAACAGTAGTTTTTTAAAAAAACAAATTTTTATTTATTTCAGAGAGGAAGGGAGAGGGAGAGAGAGATAGAAACATCAGTGGTGAGAGAGAATCGTTGATCAGCTGCCTCCTGCACCCCCCACCCTGGGGATGGAGCCCACAACCCGGGCACGTGCCCTGACCAGGAATCGAAACGTGACCTCCTGGTTCATAGGTCAACGCTCAACCACTGAACCACGCCAGCTGGGCAAAGCATCAGTCGTTTTTAAAGCTTTCTGAAAACAGCAACCAGCCTCCTTCAGGCCTGGCTGTTTGACGGGCGGGGTTTCCTGCAGTTAATACTCATGCTTAGCAGTGTTTTAGATGAATAGATTAATGATGCATTTAGATTTGGAAATATTTCCCCTGTGCATCAAGTTAAGGATTAAGGTGAAGCATATTTTGAGGCTCCTCTTGACAAGTTGCTTCTGTCTCGTGTTCATTGGAAATAGAGAAATTTTACTTCCACTCAGAAAAAGTTAAGCATTCTTAGGTGTTCTCTACAGAGCGCTTGAGCCATAACTATGTGGACTGGAATCGTCCAAAATTTCAGCTGCTTATCAGTATTCAGCCTAACAAGTCAGATTTAGCAGTTTGTCTTGTGTGTGGTTTGGATTTCAAAATTCTGGTGGATGAAATTGTAAACATCCTAGTACAGTCATCCTGGTGAGCTTGTTTGTTGAAAAATGCCTTCAGTCCTTGAAAGTTAGGAGGACTTTGGCACGGTGGCTTTAATTTTGTAAAAGGGAGTGTTCAGGTGGGTTAGGATTTGGCTGTGATCAAGGAGCAATGGCAGATGTGAACTCACTTATTGAACTCAAACCACTAGATCAGAAATGCTCAGGGTTGTAGGCATTTGAGATTCAGTCATAACTTGTCACTTCTTAGATTGCACTTAACAATAGTGCACCAGCATTTTCCTGAATTTACAGTTGCTCAGGTCAAATTACACACCCTTTACTACCTCCTATAACTCCTGCTCAAAACCTGATGTGACGTGGTTGCCTAAAAAACGGAGACAACCCATCCATGAGAGCACCATTGCGGTGGGATGTGACTGTGTAAAGATGAAAAATGCAGAGCAGGGTTTTAGAGACGGGTGGGTGCCCCTTGCTGCCTGTCGGAGAGAATGCATCAAGGCTTTGAGAAGTTTACTTGCAATTGAGTGCCCTCTGGGAAAAGAAGGAGTCCCCCGTTCTCGGGTTGTCTGAGGATTGGGGGACCCAAAGACATTCTAGAGCAGTGGTTCTCAACCTTCTGGCCCTTTAAATACAGTTCCTCATCTTGTGACCCAACCATAAAATTGTTTTCGTTGCTACTTCATAACTGTAATGTTGCTACTGTTATGAATCGTAATGTAAATATCTGATATGCAGGATGGTCTTAGGCGACCCCCGTGAAAGGGTCGTTTGACCGCCAAAGGGGTCGCGACCCACAGGTTGAGAACTGCTGTTCTAGAGGATCCAAAGACGCTCTAGAACAGGCGTCCTCAAACTATGGCCCGCCGGCCACATGAAAATACAAATATTGTATTTGTTCCCGTTTTGTTTTTTTACTTCAAAATAAGATATGTGCAGTGTGCATAGGAATTTGTTCATAGTTTTTTTTTAAACTATAGTCCGGCCCTCCAACGGTCTGAGGGACAGTGAACTAGCCCCCTGTTTAAAAAGTTTGAGGACCCCTGCTCTAGAAGCAGAACATCCAGATCTTGAGGAATCGCCACATGGCTTTCTGCTTTTCCAGGTGAGAGAGGAAAGGCGTGTGTGTGCCTAGGCACAGCTGGGTGTGTCTCTGAGAAGCTAGGGTTGAACAGTTCCTGCAGGGTTCCGGAGGACGTCGCTCCATTAATGTAGCATCACAACACCAACAACAAATGCTTCTGGCTGTCGGCCCAAGTTATCCTTCCAGATCCTGGAATGTAGCCCTCGGGTAGCGCTGGGATCTAAGCAGTGCAACATCACTTTCCTTCGAAAGAGTATCCTTCCTGCCCAACCTGACAAATGAACTCAGGCCCAAATGCTAGAAACCTAAACCACAAGTCCTCTCAGCAATAATTGTTTTTAAAAATGATCTTGGGGTAGGTCAGTGCTCAGTCCACAGTGATGTATCTAGTTGGATCTGTTTCAACCCGGGACTTGCCTTGTGTGTGTCTCGCGTAGCCGGCAAGATGAAGGAGCCTGTTGTTTTCAGATGGGACAGTGGGGGTTACCACTGATGCTGGAAACCTGTGTCCACGGCTGAGCAGCGTGACACTAGGAAATACTCTTGGTTTAGAAGAAGACTGAGTTCAGAACCTCAAGCCGTCACTAGCTGTGTGGCCGTGGGGAACTCATTAGAGATCATTTGACCTCTCTAACCCAGTTTCCCAGCCTGAAATGACTGCCAAACACGTGCCGACTTTGTAGGATTATTGCAGGTATGAAGGTGAAAGGGGACGGATGTGAAAACCTTGATGAAACCAGCAAGATTCTCAGAGTTTATTATGGGATGAAGCCAAGGAAATCCTGTCTCATGGATCTATGACTTGGTTCTCTTTCTTCTTTCCCTGTGTGTGTTTCCCCAGCATTCGTCCTTGTCATGGTTTTCTTTTAAAAAAAAAAAATTTTCTTTATTGATTTCAGAGAGGAAGGGAGAAGGAGAGAGATAGAAACATCAATGATGAGAGAGAATCATTGATCGGCTGCCTCCTGCACACCCCTTACTGGGGATCGAGCCCGCAACCCAGGCATGTGCCCTTGGCCAGAATTGAACCTGGGACCCTTCAGTCCGCAGGCTGACGCTCTATCCACTGAGCCAAGCCAGCTAGGGCTCTTTTAAAAGTAATTTAGGGTTGGGGGGATGAGTAAATGGAGACGATGAGTAAGTTATGGAGATCTAATGCCCAGCAAGGTGACAATAGTTAGCGATATTGTGGAGTAGACCTGGAATTTGCTCAGAGGGTAGGTCTTCAAGAGTCCTCACCACAAAAAAGACATGCTAAATATGTGAGGTGATGGGTATGTTAATTAGCTTAATTGTGGTGATGATTTCACAACATATCAAAACAATGGCATACACCTTAAGTATATACAATTTTTATTTGTCAATTATACCTCAGTAAAGATGAAAAAAAAAAGAACAAAAGAAAAAGCCAGTCATTCCCGTTCTTTTCTGGCTTTGATTACCAAGAAAAAAGAAATAAAACACTTTGGGTTGTTCTGTGCCCCAGAATGCTTTATTTTAGAAGAACTCTAAAAGAGACTAACTATTAGATTATTTGTGTGTCTCTAGTTCTCCTGTGCACACGCTTGCTGAGGGGAAAATACTCCCCTGAGGTATTCATAAATTGAATGGAAAAAATCCTGACACCAGTTTTTGAGACTATAACCACTTCAGTAAATACTAGTGGCATTGAGATTGCAAAAGAAATTGACGTGTGGTCTCCTCTCTCATTTATTATGCTGAGATTGAACAGTTACACTTGGGTATAATTTATTACACTTAAAAATACAAAAACAAACCAAAACACAAAAAACACACACAAATCCCAGTGGCATGCCCACATGAAGTTCCTCCTTAATAAAGCAGTCATAGAATGTGCATGCTCCTTCAGTTGTATCACCCAGGATGCCTCCTCATTGTCACTGTATTTTGAGGATAATTGAAAGGCTTCAGTTAAAGAATTTCAGGTCATATCCAATGGATACAAAAAGTATTTCAGCCTAAGACAGTGATCGGCAAACTGCGGCTCGCGAGCCACATGCGGCTCTTTAGCCCCTTGAGTGTGGCTCTTCCGCAAAATACCACGTGCGGGCGCGCACGTACATTGCGATTAAAACTTCGTGGCCTATGCGCAGAAGTCGGTATTTTGTGGAAGAGCCTCACTCAAGGGGCCAAAGAGCTGCATGTGGCTCTCGAGCCGCAGTTTGCCGACCACTGGCCTAAGAGATCGGATGTGTTTATGTTGTTTCCTTTGCTTAATCCAGTGAAGAAAATAAGGTGCCCCTTCCAGGCAGCCTGGATTGTTTTCAGTTGATTGAAATTGAATTTAAATGGACCACAGGCAAATGCTTCTGAAGACTGAAGACTTAGTGACCCTTAAATCTCTGATCAGGGAGACGTGACACAAGCAGGCACAGGGACAGAGAGTGGTCCCGGGGTTATAGCTGCCCAGTCTCTCCATGGGGACACCTGATTGCATGCTAATGCTGGCGTTCCCAGACACCCCTTGTGTGTGCAGCTCCGGAAGTTGAAATCGCAGCACCAGATATGGCGTTATAGTTATTAATAGGAAGTGACTGCTGATAATGGTATCAGTTTTAGGTAAAAGAGATAGTGCCACATTTTTCCTCTCTCCAGAGAGTTAACATTTCGGGAGGGCTTTGTAGCTTAGAAACTCTGTCTTTTGAGTGGGGCATTCATGTTTTTGCCTCTCCCCATTTTTTTCATTTTTCCCCTCTCTGTCCAAACTGAACCCACCGCCTATAAGGGTTTCTTTCTTTCTTTTTTTTTTTAAAAAAATATATTTTATTGATTTTTTACAGAGAGGAAGGGAGAGAGATAGAGAGTTAGAAACATCGATGAGAGAGAAACA